AATGTCAGCCAATGAAGACAACTAGTGAAGGTTTAAACTTAGAGGGAACGTTCAACTATTATTTAAAACACAACAACATTAATCAGGTGAAAACTTTAAATTACAAAAGGTCTTGCTCCTGCAATGGAGATCTAAATGGCCTCATGATCATACACAATTTTTGTTTAGTGCGAGGAGCGAACTCGCAACCTCTGGTATAATATTCTAATACGAGACTCACTAGGCTAAAAGGCCATCCTAATTCTATTCCACAATTCGATACTACATCGACATCGCAACCGTTTGAGATGCGAGACCAAGTGTCAGCCATTACGTGCCGTTGTGACACACGTGTCACGCGCGTTACGGTCATTTTGCGTTGCAAATGACGTGACGGTGGTGTCCCGTCGCTGTCAGGATGACGGAGCTTAATTGGAAACCCGTCAGAACTGTAGTCAGGTGGAGCGGAGGTATTTTTGGACTGTGTGTGGCTTCGTGTTGGTTATATTGAGTAGTTTAGATTAGAGTATTTGTCTATTAAAATATGTCAAATTCCAAGCGGTCTTGAAGGGATAAAACACCTATAGTTATTGGTCCAACACCTACCCCTTTCTGTCTTTTCTTACGCCCGTATTCACAAACATTACTATGAGGTCTCACAGTGCGCGTGGACGCACAGGGTCACACACGAACCAATCATAGAGCTCTATTCTACGCAGTGCGTTCGATTTACTGCGTCTAAGCAAGCATTGTTTGTGAATAAGGGCGTAAGTTTCTTTTCTGATAAGAAACAAAATATTGACTGATTAAGAAAAGTTGATTCGTGTCAGCCAATGAGGGTTTTCGCGATTGAAAAATCCGCCAGATGGCAATACGTAGACGCGAGGTCCAAATGCTGCATGATTGGTTATTTTTGACATGACATTGACAGATACGTCAAAATCCACCAATCATGCAGCATTTGGACCTCGCGTTTACGTATTGCCATCTGGCGGATTTTTCAATCGCGAAAACTCTCATTGACGTCCACTGCTGGACAAAGGTCACTAAAGATTTTCACAACGACGGTTCTGCGCTGCCCGCATCCAGGTGCCTCCCGCGACTCTCACCTTAGAAAAAGCCCTAAAAAAACTTTACATTTTTTTACATAATCTGCCTTGCCAACTTCGTTAAAAATTCTCGTTCCACCAGTCATAGAAGATCCCAACTACCAACTTGACCTTGACTGGTTGGGCTTTTACTGGCGGTCAAACTGTAGATCCTGGCTACACAGGAGTTGCAGCGATGGTAACGAGAGGACCACCACTTCGGGACAACATATCGGCTAGTGCTGAAGAGTACTTCTAAACATTAATAAATAGAGCAATTCACGAAAAAGAGCGATTTGCATAAGTTTAATACAAGAAACAAAAATAAACTTGCCGTTCCTTTCAGACTGCATAAGATTGGTAATTCATTTATGGAGAAATGTATTAAATTCTTTAATAAATTACCACAAACTGTTGTAGAACTACCCATTCATAAATTCAAAGCACATATTATTTAAAAGATAAAAATGTTTGGGATGCGTAACTGCCTAGCTCGCATAAATATTTATAACTATGTGTATTGTAAAGCCTGTAAACATTTGAAAAAGAGGCTGACACTAGTGACTGAGTTTCTTGCGCTGCTTCTTCTCAGCACTGGCCCATTTATTGTCCTGAAGCAGTGTTAGGGTTAATACTGGGACGTGTAAAAGTGCTTTTTTAAAGCCTATTTGCAGAAATAAATGAGTTTTATGAGTTGTTTTTATGTAGGTATCTTTCTCCACCCTGTATCTCTTTTTTTATTTGCACTATTCTATCGCCCCAATTCGGATTTCCGTTCAATATTTGTTCAAGACCGACAGCTCTCTAGGCGAGTTTACGGTCGCCACAACATAAACATATTGAGCAAGCGTTCTTCTTAATAGTAAAAGTAAAGCTATTGTTGGCCGGTACTAACTAAACAAACACTACTTTTTTTAAAATTCACAATGAGGAAGCTCTTGACCTGCATTCTTACCGGGTGGAAAGTGATGATCAGACTGAAGGTGGAAGAAAGCTTCACTCGAAATCCTCAACTACAGAGAAACTGTCTATCTTACCTCCAACTGCCGAAACAGAGCAAAAATGCTGTTAACACATTAGTAGTTTTTTCCATGTAACGATGTCAAGAGATCCGTAGGAGCACTAAAGTACGCACAATACCCTAAGTGACAGGGTAACACATAGTATAAATGTGACAAGGTTACTGCATCAACTTTCGACTGTGGAAAAGCGGCCTGGTTCGTATCAATCGAATAATCGAACGCCCGATGCCCGTCCCAAGTATCGAACCGCGAACCACGTGCTAAGGGCTCTCGGACTAAACGTACATTGGAGAGTTCCGTACTAGGGTTCAAGGTTAACACTATGTCATCTTATGTGATTATAATACGGTCGAGATTGCTACAAAATGTATAGCCAGATGTGCTATCGTCTGTACATTGAAGTGTTCCGTTCCAGGAAAGATTCAGGAACGGGAGGTTCCGGGTTCGATTTCCAGTAGGAGTAAAATTTTCTGCTCGATAGGGTTGGTTGATATGTTTTAAGTCCGCCTGACTAGCTGCCATCATCTTACATTGTTGTGTTCCGGCAGTTGGAGCTAGATAGCCAGTACCTCTGAGGTTGAGGTTCTATCAGGTGAGATGCACAGGTTTACACAAGTTTTCTGAAACGATATGATCATAGTCATTTTAATCAATTAATGGATTAAATATCATGACATGTTCTGAGAAGTGAAAAAAACTCTTTAATTCTCGGTAATGTTTCCATCTGCGAAAAATAAACTCTACTCCCTTCTCTTTCACTCTTACTACCAACTCTAAATGAGTGAGAGAGATAGCTAGTATATAGTCGTTTAGCTAAGTTTCCCTCAGGGTCGGATTAAAGAGTAACATTTACCGTTGGTTTAATTTTCTTAATTGATTTACACTGTTTTTGGGGAATTTGGGATGTTTTGATAATGAGATGAACGTATTAAGTTTCTCTTTATTAGTTTTAATTTAGAGATTACCTGCTGTTTTTCGCATACCTCCATGTTTTAATGATTAGGTAGTTGGACGTTCTCGACTCAGAGGTTCTGGGTATGATTTTTTTTTTTCTGTGGCAACACTACCGCTAACAGCTGATTTGAACTTGTCCCAATTTATTNTATTATTTCAGCTGTTGGCTTTGTACGGGTCAGCTTACATTGGAAATGTTCTTAGAGCTTGAATCTATGTATCATTCTGTGCAATGAATATCTTATAGGGTTAGTGGTTTAAGGGTATAGCGGATTCGATTCCCAGTCGGTAAAACTGGGATACTTTATTTTAATAACTCTGATTATGATGATACAACTAAAGCAAATTATTTTTATGTAGATTTACCTATAATATATTTATTTACGTGATCTGAAGAAATATCAACCTACATTTTAATGGTGTAGATGATTATCCTCAAGAATTAATCTTGCACACTTACTTACTTATTTTTATACATATAATGTTATGAAATATCATGGTTAGGTAATTAGTTTATCTCCAACATACAATACGTGTATTTTTTAAATAATGTTGAATAGTGAAGCTACTTTGATACTGAGTTTAACTACCACTCCTAATGCGCTACTAGTTCAGTAAATGTGTTAGGGTTGTTCCGCTGGTGAAAGTGAAAGTATCTATATTTACAGATGTATGTGATAGTAATATTTGTATTTTCATTGAGATTTCAAAGTTAGTTCTGATATTACACCCAGGCTTTATTCGTTTTTGTAATTGTATGATTAGACATAAATATTTAGATGTTTAATGTCAATAACTGCACCACTCCATCGTAAATTAATTTAAAATAAGTATACATAATACAGCACATGCCTCTTTGCTCGTAATGGAATCAACATAATATAAACACAATCTTGCAAAACATTATGGGATTATGGGTGACAGCCCTAATAATAACGAACGTGATTCGTGCTGTTTTAGATGCTACAAAAATCAGTCTACAGTAAAAATGAAATTTGATCATTATGTTATTTTCCCATGAACATAGAAATGCAAGCAGTGCATTTACACACATTTCCAACATGTGTGTTTTACGTGCTTCTTTTGCTTGTGTGTCATCATGAAATTAAGTATAAATAAGTTTCATGAAGTCTTTCCATCAATCGAGTCTCCTCNTAATCTATATATATAAAAATGAAACCCGTTTCGCGTTGTCACGGCATCACGTGTGAACGGCTGAACCAATTTCGATAATTCTTTTTTTTAAATGTTTGTGGAAGTCCAAGGATGGTTCTTACGGAAAAAAATATTAAGAAAATCTCTACGCTAAGGCGGTACGAAGTTCGCCGGGTCAGCTAGTTAAGTATAAATAAGTTTCATGAAGTCTTTCCATCAATCGAGTCTCCTCTGTTGACGAACACTCAAGTAGTGCCTAACTGCTCATCGTGCTCCTCGTGCTCATCGTGCTTCTCGTGCTCCTCGTGCTGCTTACTCACTTCGCAAAATGTTCGTAAGTTTCCTTTGTGATTATTAAGTTTTTTTTTTTTTATTCTATCTACGATCAGCCGTCAGCCTTTATCAGATTATATGAATTCGCATTAATGACAGTTTAGGTTCTGCACATCCCATGATGTGTCACCTCGTTTCCTTTACAATAACTCTTCAGATGGATGCTATTCGCTTTCTCCTGAGCCTGAATGTAGAGTTCTCAGAATTTAGAAGGGATGCAGCAAGTACATTTTCATGACGCTGAAGTCTCTGTTTGTAAGCCCTACAGGACTTATCTACAACCTCTTTGACGTTTGGTATCTCCAGGTATTCATGCACTTCAGTGGACTTTGTAAACCAAGGTGCACAACTCAAAATTTTCAGCACTTTGTTTTGGAAACGCTGGAGTATTTCCACATTTGAGTGGTTCGCAAAATGTTCGTAAGTTTCCTTTGTGATTATTAATNTTTGCTTGTGTGTCATCATGAAATTAAGTATAAATAAGTTTCATGAAGTCTTTCCATCAATCGAGTCTCCTCTGTTGACGAACACTTAAGTAGTGCCTAACTGCTCATCGTGCTCCTCGTGCTCATCGTGCTTCTCGTGCTCCTCGTGCTGCTTACTCACTTCGCAAAATGTTCGTAAGTTTCCTTTGTGATTATTAAGTGATTAGATAGTTATTTGTTGTATTGCACTAAGTTTTTTGTTATGTAGTTGATATGGATTTGAAATGGGTTCGATTCCCACCGGCACAAAAACTCGATTCTAGTTCAGCTTATAGTCATGATTTCTGTCTAACTAAGAATTAGTGTTGTACTCAATAAAGATTAAAACCAAAAAGTAACAAAAAAAATGTTTTTAGGTCACAATCAGATAATAAACGGGTGGCATCCTGGGACTCTGAGTCTGAGCCCTCGGACTTCGGAGAACAGCCTCCACCACAGTAAGTAAATACCTATACTATCTTAATTACTACACAGTACATACTATAATTTCAAATGCTCAGGAAGTGTTTGTAGGAAAGTAACAGTTAGGATCTGAGATAATGATTACAAGTACCTAGTAGGCTAGTATNCCAACTATGAGACAATTGTAGAGGAACGGAATAGGCTACAATTAATCATTGACGGGTTTGGTGAGTGCAATGAAGAGTACGTACACAACCTCAGACGTATGACCATCATGAAACAAGACCTTTATGATGCTCACAGCCATATTGAATTAATGGAAGCTGAAAGAGAAGCCTGCACAGCCACCAAAACCCAAATCATGTTTGACGAGTTAGTCGGTAGTGCGCCCAGCCTGACCCAAACTGCATCTGACAAACAATTAATTACCATAGACCTAACTTGTGATAATACTTTAAACAATACTCCTGTATTTGAAAATTATAAATAACTTGAAAAAATCGAACTGCCTAAGGCGGGAATTGAACCCACGACAAGATTATAATTTCAAGTTATTTATAATTTTCAAATTAGTTTGAGATGCGACTCTAAACGCTAAAAATTTAATAACTATGNCCCTCGGACTTCGGAGAACAGCCTCCACCACAGTAAGTAAATACCTATACTATCTTTATTACTACACAGTACATACTATAATTTCAAATGCTCAGGAAGTGTTTGTAGGAAAGTAACAGTTAGGATCTGAGATAATGATTACAAGTACCTAGTATGCCTTTCTATAAGTATAGTAATTTTTGTGGGTTGTGTATTTTTAATGTCACATCTAATTGTGATATAACATTGGAAATTACGATTGTTAATCATTTATTTTAGATTTAAATTGCAGACCCGCAAAGAAGGCGAAAAAATCAGCCAAGGCGGAAACACCTTCGGCCACCTCTAAATCAAAGAAAAAGACGTCCACTAGGTATGTATTAAATTTTTTTTAAATATTCATTTGTCGGCCGTTTGGTGTAGTGGTTCGGAACGGACTACTATTCCGGAGGTAGCGGGTTCGATTCCCGCACAGTACAAACATTTGTGTGCATGAACATAATTGTTTGTATTGGACTGGGTGTTTTCTATGTATAACTAGCTGACCCGGCGAACTTTGTTCCGCCTTAATGGCAATAAATAAGCAGACTTTTTTTTTAANTATATCCGTTGTCTAGTAGGTACCCATAGTACAAGCTTTGCTTAGTTTGGGACTAGAAGCGCAGTGTAAAATGTCTAAGGATATTTATTATTATTATTATTATTTGACATACATTTCAAACTGTGGGTCCTATATTGTTTTCCTGAACTTATTATAATTTAAACTTTGATCATTTCAGTGGCACAACCAAGTCTGCGAAATCGCTTTCGAGCGAATTATTCGGCGACGACTCCGACGGACCGTGCCCCGAGCCAGTCCCGAAAGCGTCGCCGCTGTGGTCGTCCCTGGCCCGCAGAGTCGCTGATGGCGTGACGCGCCAGATCGAGCTGGTCGAAGAGGGGGAGATCTTCTTCGATGTCAAGGTGTTTAACACCTGCGACATCATCGACCTGGATCCTCGTCAGCGGGCTGAAAAGTGGACTGCACAGTTGCGCTTGAGGGTGAAGCCCAACGATCCGCTCTGGGTGCAATTAAAAAAAATTGCAAGGNGACCTACTAAATATTTTTGATAGCTTATGTTTACTTAACCCATTAACGCCCAAATGAAAACCACGCTAAATTTTATTTAACCAATGTTTATTTTCGTTATAAAAACACTTCCATAAAAACATAAAAAATGAAGAAAACCAAAAACAAAATCAGAACTTAGATTTTTAGGGGTGTACTAAACTTTGTACAATGGGCGCTTAGGAGTGATATTGAGCAAAGCATCCTCTATCGAGGCACAGCGTTTTCAGGCACTTGCCACAAGTTGTTTTGACTCTGTTGGAGCACACAGTACATCTAAGCGGGTTAGGTAGTTTTTCCGGGTTGTGCCCATTATTTATTCTCTCTTCTCCATCAATTGTAGAGGAAGACTTTCTACTCTTATTGAGCTTTTTAAGGCTCAAATACGTGCGTGCTATATGTCTGCGGAATGCAAGCTGATCCATGCGACAGTCCGGGTTTGCTATGCAGTGAAGTCTCCATGCATTCGAAATGGTCATGTCCACCATATAAGTGAACAAGACCCACCACCACTTTTTTCCTTTCACCCCAATTCGGTAAAGTCCTATAGACTGATCCATCTGATCTACTCCACCCATTCCCTTATTGTAACTCTGGAATACGTGAGGTATGTTAACGTCTACTTTTTGTTTTTTCGTGGAACACCATCTTTTGACTTTCCCGAATGGTTCCAAAGTATCAAAATTTGTTCCAATCGTACACACATTATTGTCTTTCCATCTTACCAATAAAATTTCGTTTGTCTTATCGAATCTGTGGTCATGTTCAGCTCTAGGCTTTTTGCGCATATCTTTAGATGTAATCAAAGGGCACCGTTTCGTTCTGTTTTCACGTAAGGTTCCAGTAGCTCTGTACCCAAGCCTCTTTAGGTCGACGAGTAGGTCGTAATTGGTAAAAAAGTTGTCAAAGTAGACTACATGTTCTTCAGGTTTTGTTGGCGCTTTACTCAATAAACCTTTCACAACACGAGAGCCAAGAGGATCGGTGGTAGCCTCTGAAGATTTTCCGCAATATACATCAAATGTGTAACAATAGCCATCGTAACTAGTCAACGCCCAATTACGATATCCATATCGTACAGGTTTACCCATTATAAATTGTTTCGCTGAATGATGTCCATAGTATTTAACCATAGATTCGTCAATCGATAAATCTTTATGTAGCATTCCATATTGACAAAATTTTCTTTGTAGAATATCACAAAGCGGTCTCAATTTGAACATTTTATCGTTAGAGGTATTGGCCAAAGTGTTGTCTGCAAAATGCAGATTTCTTTTTATTTCCAAAAATCTGTTTCTTGACAGACACTCTGAAACTAATGTCACACCTAGATCATCATCTAAGCTCCAATATGACCTCTCACTAGGCAATTTATGGTAACCGGAAATTATAAGTATGCCTAGGAATTTTTGGAGTTCCTCCTTGGTAAAAGCTTTATCATGCCTATTGTTTTGCCCAGCATATATTGTGCTTTGAGTTGCGATAAGTTCCAGTACCTCGTCGTCAAAAAGACATTCGAAGACTTTTACAGGAGTCAGATCTTTTAGGATAGCTGAAACATTAGAACATCGTTCTTCAAAAGCTATATCTTCTGTGGAAGACCGAGAAACAGAGTATATTGGCACACACTTTCTCCAAGTTTGTAAATCTTGAACTCTTCTTCTCTTTGGCACATTTTGAGAGGAAGATGATGACGCAAATGCTATGAGGGGTTCATCGTCACCGCTGCTCCATTCATCTTCGAAGGTAGTACATCTGCGAGTAACAACTTCTACATTACCAGGAACATCTTGAGGTAATTCATTTTGATATAAGTTATCCTCGCCACCTTCCTCTTCATCAGTGACAACATCTGGATTAGGTGGCAACATAATAACGTCGTAAATAGCATCATCGTCACTATCCTGGCTAAGAATGTCGTGTATGGCTTCTTGTAAACCAAAATAGTTTTTTTCTTGTGTGTAAATACGTCTGTTAGCCATTTTATAATGCTAAAGGGATTCACTCTTGTCGCCTGAAAACCCAGAAAGAAGGATCAAGGTTATTATAAAAATATAAACAAGTCATAAAACAAATATTACGCGTAAAAAATATGAGCAAAAAGCTTAACACTCTAACAAAATTATCTTTACCGTTTGGTCTTACATTATATGCCAAACGCCCATTGTACCAAACATTGTACAGCGGCACTTTGAGTGTTATAACTTGAAAAACTTTTTATGAAATTAACTTTTTTATGTATTTTATATTAGGTTATGATGTTATAGACTAAACTACAACACTTTTTGCCATTTTGTGTAACTTAAAATTAGTGTAAAAATAAAAAAGTACTCACCGAGAGATAGGATAAAAATCACTGACATGAAATTGCAAATTACCCACATATAATTTTACAATTACGTTCCGTTTCATGTATACACCTAATGCATAGAACTTTGATGACCAATTGTAATTATTGCCAGAGTAAAAAATCCTCATTAAGTAACTGTTATCGTAACTTAAAGTTGTGTACCATTTATTGTACGGCGGGCGGTAATGGGTTAATGTAGATAAAATAATTTTGTTCACATTCCCCTACAGTAGAAGCTTGCCACAGGAGGAAAATAATTTAAGATATAAATTGAATTTGACATTGAATACACTGACATATAATCAATGCAAATTCCATGTAATTGACATTAACAATTATTTAAAAAATAAATGTTTATTGACAATAGATAAATATAATTATCTAAATAAATATTGTAAAAGACGAATAGCGAATTCGCTATCATATTTTATTAAATATTTAGCCATTAATTTGGCTAGCCAAACTGCTTTTATTGAGCAGACCATGGATGTTCGACCCTTGGAATCTGTTCCAAATCATAATTTAAATTACATCGTAAGACAATAGAGGATAACTCTGGCATACAAAATTCGGGTACAAAGAAATTTAACGGTTTTAATTTAGTGCATCAGAATGTACAAGGCTTCTCCGGCAAAGACTTGGAAATTGAGTTATTTATCCAAGAATTGAATATTCATGTCTTATGTTTAACGGAACATTGGCTCAGGCAATATGAACTAATGCTGAGCATNGAGTCTGTTAAAAGTAAAGCCTTCCCAGGTCACTTGCGTAGCACTAAACATAAAAATAACTGTGCAGTACAGTTTGATACAGGCATTGAAAAAATCAGTTCAGCATTTCGGAACCGCATAGCTTCTTATCGTATACGCGCAGAGCGCGAGCGTCAAGCGGATGATGATAGCGCTGTAGCTGCTACTTGCCCAAGGCAGTTCTTGCTTAGCATTGCTTCAAAGTTGAAAAGACTTATTGACTCTGCGTTAGCTAATCATGTTAACGTGAAAATAAACTTTGAACTATTTGTTAAAGTAATTCTACCTAAAGATGATTCCATGGAAATAAAGTCATTTGCAACAGAAAATATTGCCATACATCAAAACTATATTTTTAATGATTTCTTGGAGATTGTTTCTGAAATTCTTTGTAAAAAGATAGATGAATTCCAGGAAAAGGGAAGTGGGTGGTCTCTTTTAGAAATTCAGTATCTTGAAACGAACATTAATAGGTATTCGCCTTTAAAAGGGTCATGCTATATTAAATTGCCAAAAACGATTAGTTCGAAACGGGCATGTGTAAACATCAAAAATAATGATGAATATTGTTTCGCATGGACTGTAATGGCTGCGTTGTACCCAGCAAAAAAGAATGGTTTTCGAGTGTCTTCGTATCCTCACTTCAGTACTATATTAAATTTAAGTAATATGTCCTTCCCTGTTTCATTTAAAGACATAAAGATATTTGAAAAGAATAACGAAAATATCAGTGTTAATGTCTATGGTTTGGATAGTAAAAACAATATTACGGGCCCATTATACAAAACCAAACTAAGAAAAAAGTACCACGTTAACATGCTTTTGTTGCAAGATGGTTGTAAATCGCATTATTGTCACATAAAGGATCTTCCTAAATTGATAAGAAAGCAAGTTACTAAACATCATGGGAAGATTTACTTTTGCGATGATTGCTTGCTATTTTTTAAATCAAATTTACAATATGAGAAGCATGAGTGTGGAGGGGTCACGACTGTTCTTCCAGATAAAGGGTCTGTAGTTCAGTTTAAAAATTTTCAATGTAAACAATTCATACCTTTTGTAATATACGCTGATTTCGAAACGTTGCTCCAACCATGCAACGAAACTCAAGGGCATCACACAACGAATACACAACGACATATTCCAGCTGCGTTTGCATATTACATTGTCTGTAATTATGATAGTAGCCTTAATCGTTTAGTAAGTTATCGTGGCCCTGATTGTGCATCAAAGTTTGTTGATTATTTACAGAGGGACTAGTAAGTTATCGTGGCCCTGATTGTGCATCAAAGTTTGTTGATTATTTACAGAGGGACATAAAAAAAGTTTTCAGCATCATTAAATCGGCTTCCGAGGATCCTGTGCCTATTATTTTTGACGGTGACGATTTATACAAATTTGACAGCGCGGAGTATTGTTACTTATGTTCAAATTTGTTAATTGGTGATAAAGTGAGAGATCACTGTCACTTCACAGGTACCTATAGAGGCGCCGCTCACTCGTTTTGTAATCTTAAGTTTCAAATCCCAAAATTCGTTCCAATTTTTTTTCACAATTTGTCAGGCTATGACTGCCATTTGTTCATTCGGGAGCTAAGCCGTATTCCCGGGTCCATCAAAGTAATTCCAAAAAGTAAGGAAAATTACATCTCCTTTACTAAGTTTATTCCTCTTTCAGACGATACTTTTGTTGCAGCAAGATTTGTTGATACATTTAAATTTATGGGCACCAGTTTAGAACAGTTGGCTAATAATCTTAACCATGCTGACTTCACACATTTACATAAAATTTGTCTAAATGAACATCAATTTGCATTATTGCGTAGAAAAGGTATTTATCCTTATGAATATATGTCTAACTGGACTGTTTATGATGAAACGAGCTTGCCGTCAATAGACGATTT